GTTGGCGGATCTTTAGCTTGTTGAGGTATAGGGAGAGTGCAAACGGATGTTAATATTTCGGCAATAATTGCCAAAAAGAAATACATATTTAAAATAAATATAAATTAATTTAAATATTCTAAAATTTAATGAAAAGTTTTTTAAAATTATTTCTTAGACTTAAAAGGAATCTTATCTACAAAATATTTATGGCTTTTAATCTGCCAAATATTATAAGCGTTTAAACAATAATTTTAGGTAATCCCAATTTTTAGAATTAAATACTCCTATTCAGTGCTGGGTATAGCTCCGGAGCCGGCTCCGGCGGAGCCGGAGCTAAGATTTTGGAAACCCCAGAGCTGGAGCCGGAGCCAAGAATTTGAAACCCGGAGCCCGGAGCCGGAGCCAACAAATGGCAAATACCCAGCACTGCTCCTATTTCTTTATTCGATATTTGACAGATCCTTGCGTTAATCGGCATTCTGAAAAATTTAAACAAATTAAAAAATATTTAGATTTAGTAAAAAAATATTATTTTACTGAGCATATATGAATGTAGATAGTGTTAATGTAAACTAATTATAAATAAAAATTATCAGTTGAATAATCTGTAATTTATTTTATAATCACTTATACATATTAAATTTCAGTTAAAAGCTAGGCAGATTAATTTAGTATGACTAAACATCAACAAAATTTTATAAATTTTCCATCAAATAACATAGGACTTCCATAATAGTAAAAAATTTTCCGTTAGCTAATTTAATCAAATGTGTTTTTTAATTTTTAAATGAATCATTATCTGATTTTTAATTATTAAATTTATATATATTTAAAAAAATTTTATTTATAAAAATTTTTAAAAAGTAATAGAACAGAGAAATCTGATAGGAAATACTGATACCACCAAACGAAAATTAAAACCTTTAAATAAATGAATTTTTTATAATTTTTAAAATTAAACAAAAAACGGCAAAGCTGAGGGTCTACTTGAACATCAAAAAATAACCCCGGAGGTTATTTTAGAGAAAATACGGTATATACTGTGAAGATTACAGATCTATTAAAGTTTGAAACATAATCAACCGATTTATATTCTTGGGTTTTTCTAGTTGCTGACAGATTATGCAGATTCAATTGAAATGGGCAATAGTGACAACTTGGGCGCAACTTTTTAATTCGATCAGTTTTATTTTTGATATAGCCTAGAACTGACATAATACCTAAATTCCATCTTCTTCTTTCATGGCCAATAATAATTTTCTCTATTATTTTCAGTAATTACACTGTTAGCCGTTTAAGTGTTACGTTCTTTATTGTAGAATTGACATAATAACAAACTCCATGGATCCTCCCTTTAATCTCTACAAATCAACCGATATCCCTCCAAACTTGCGAATTTTAGGTCTTAGAAAGCTCTAATACCAAGAATATTAATTATTATCGATAAATTTTATTTAATATAATCTATTACATTAATTTTATTTTATATATCTATTAGACAAGATCGGTTTATTACCCTTCGTCGGTGTTTGTATTATTTTTGAATGTCACTGCAATGCAGAGACAGAAAATTTGTATCACATCGGTTTTTCTCTAGTATATCAGGCAATTTCTCGCATATCCAGCATAAGATTTAGATTAACTAAATTTATTTATGTAATACCAACAGAGGGTTTTTACGTTGATGATTAATATTACAACCTTCTCATAGTTCTGTTAAAGCTTCCTAATTGGTGAGTATAAACGTCGTAAAGAATAAAATTTATTCGGAAAACTTGATTGATTTAAAAATTTTATAATTGCACTTTTTATCAAAAAAATATTCACACAAATTTATTTTAAAAACATAAAAATCTCAATTTCTTATTTGTCTTTTGTTTAAAAATTAATTTTTGTTGTTGTTGTTGTTCACTTGCATTATTTAAACTTTTATTAAATTTATTAAAGGATTCACTTTCTGTTCTAGTTCTAAATGTTCCTCCTCGACTGTTCCCTCCCCTTCTTTCCTCGTCTATACAATGAATTAATTTGTTCATTATACGGCTAAAGGCACGTCGAAAGTCTCGATTAAATATTCCATAAATTACTGGATTTACTGAAGAATTGGCATAACCTAGCCAGGAAACTGTCTAAAATTTGTTTTAATTATTTAAAAAGAGGAAGGAGGACCTGAAAAAGTAGTGGAGGAAAAAGTTGTGGCCAGAAAGGCCGTAGAACATTGACAATAAAGAAGGGTAACCAACAGATGAGAAAAGTGCCTGTTAAATAAAAATTGGTTAAAAAGGGATCTACTAAAATAAAAAACCTATAAAATCTCTCTATAATTAACGGAATCCTGAATAACTTACATTTATGAACTGTTACTTTTTACTATAACTCTAAGTTTTACTTAATTTTGTCAAATCCTTTAGTTTGACATTCAAAAAAAATTATCCATAATTTGCCTCTTTAATATTACAAATATATTTGCAATGAAATTAATCTAATAAAATTATAAATTAAATATATTATATTATGCATTTATAGCAATATTATAGTGTGTTCAAAAAATTTAAGAATTTCTCTGTTGCATTCTCTGAGTTTAGATAATACTACATATTATAAGATGTGGACAATAAATGGATGTCTTAATAACGAGAGTTGGGGTAAATTGTATGTAGTTCTCAAATTGTTACAAAAAAACCAACCCATAATAACACCAAGAGTAACACGTGCTTTCTTATCAGAAGAACGATGCCCTCCATTGCCATTATTATTATTAGACCACCCACAAGATTTAAAACCTCTTTTTGTTGTTGGAGAAGGGAGTGGTGAACAACTTTTCCTTCTCTTAAATTTAAAATTAGATACAAGCAAAATTTAGGGTTATCTAATAATAGAGCTCTTTGCGCCATTGATGAAAACTAGCGTTTAAGAAGCTACTTAACTATAATAGATGCATGGGAAATGAATAAATTATTTAAAAAATCCAATAGATTTTTTTTTAATTTTCACAATTCTTAGGACCTACCGCATTGAAGAGCCTGCAAAAAGCAAATTTAGCTAAATGAGAGTACGCATACTACATGTATTTTCGCAGCTTATTTCGCTATCAGTTAAAATGTGCGTTTAAAAAGCTTCTATGCTAAATCTAAAGGAAAAGTCTTGATTCTCTATCTCAAAAAATTTCATTAAAAACTTCTTGCAAATACTGTAACATCTTATACTCCTTTTCATTTCAATTCTCATCAAAAAAATTCATAAAATTTATTTAATTGAATAATACCAACCTCCCCACCACCACAACCAACCCTTCTACTATTAACACCCAATCCATTTCTCGAAACAAAGCTAAAGCTGCTACTATTATTGCTTTCTGTCCTTCTTAATTGTCTCAATGTAGCCCTAAGTACAGGCGTTCCCTGTTGTATTGTAGCGTCGATAGAATGATTTTCTGGTGATTTATTCACAGCAACGTTTATTTGGCTAAACTCGGCTTTTTGAAGGGATTCCCCGTCAAAGGAAGATTTTCCACTAAATCTTCGAGAATCGTAGTGAAGGGCTATTGAAGAGGGGGACTAGAGAAATAGGAAAGAGGTTATTAAATAATTGAAAATTATGTAGTCTTACTAAAAATCCACTAGAAGGACGTACTACTACTTGACGTACTCTATCTGAGGCTAATTGTAAAATCAAAAGTGAAGTAGCCTTTAAAATAATTTAAAAATTTTTTTAATTGAAGAAATAAAACAGGAAAAAATAAAAACTCTAAATTTGAAATTTAAAAATATGCCGGATGTTAAAAGTTTATCTTTTCGTAGGTTTTGCCTCAGGGCATTTACCATGGAGGTGGGATAAATAAATAAGTGACACAAATACAATGTCACTTTAAGCATTCTAACCTGTTTAAGTTGTGATTGTATGGAACGGGCATGATGTCGAGCATATAAATAAAGCCTGTAGTAAAGGAAAAGCATCAAAGTAGCTGGTAGGAAGAAGCTAAGTAAAGAAGAAAAGACAGCATAAAAAGGAGATAATTGTAATTGACATTGAACTAGTGTTGGTTGTTGTTCGATAAATCTGTTGAGAAAAATGAGTAAATTTTATTATGTTTGAAAAATTTTTGAGTATTAAAACATTACATTCATTTCAAAGTTCAAATTTTTGGGAAAATTTACATAATATAAACTATTTATTTTAAATTTTATTAAATGTTAGTTTTCATCTGATAACTTTGTACCCATAGGTAGTTTTTTAATATTTTTGTATGTCAATGCAATCATTGACAGATTTAATTTGGAAGGTGTATGTAGTACAGGGTGTTTCAGCTGAAAAGCGCTATTTGAAAAATCAATAACTTTTTACTGCGCGGATAGATTTTAATGATATTTGGTATTTTGTATCTATAGTTCATGGCATTTTTTTTGACATAAAAATTATTTCGAAATTCGAACCCTAACCCTTTATTTCAAATCCGTACTCAACCGTTCTCTTTTCTTTCTCTTTTCAGTGCGCGCTATCTTACTTAATTTTTTTTCCTGCGAGCGGCGAAGTGAAGAAGCCCCGCCCACTTTTCTTCAAGTTGTAGTGTCTATCGCCTATTGTTTACTCTAGTGTCTATCGCCACTCGCAGCAAATAAAGGGAAGTAAGAAAACATGTGGTGAGCATGCGGAAAAGAGAACAGTAGAGTACGAAATTATCTCGGGTTAGGGTTCGAATTTCGACATAATTTTGATGTCAAAAAAAATGCCATAAAATATAGAAATAAAATACCAAATATCATTAAAATCTATCCATGCAGTAAAAACTTATTGATTTTTAAAATAGCGCTTTTCAGCTGAAACACCCTGTATAATTAGGGTTGCGATTTTCATATGCATATTTTTTAGCAAACTTGCATAAGATGCGCAAAACTTTGTTGCGTAATTTGCAGAATACCCTTTCAACTATTACCTTTCTATGTAACTATTCAAACCTTCACTATTATTATTTTTTTAACTCCATTTTCTAGATTGAGGTTTAACTTTATTTTTAAATTTTACCTAAATTTATCAGTCTCATTAATCTCTCCAAAATAGTCTCCATTAAATATAACAGAATATATCTCCAATCCATTAGTAGCCCCAAAAGCTATTTGAGCCGTTCCGACCGCTGTAGAAATTATCCAAATAGCACAAACAGAACAACAAATAACCCTTCTTCCAACAAATCTATTTTGAGAATAAAATTTATTTTTAATTTGTCTCTATATAGGGACAGGGGCTGATCGAGCCCTGCCCTAGTCCAAGTATCATTTCACCAAAAAATTTAATATTACATAATATTTAATTTTTTATTTCAATCAGCACTGGTCAGGACACTGGGTTTCCTGACCAGTGCTGATCGAATACAGGTCACTAATCTGCCAGATACTAGTCACTTATCTATATTTAATATTTATTAGTCCCTATTTTTCAAATATCACCATATCTCTAATTTAAGAAAAATAAAGAAACTTAATCTAATTTTTGTTGTCTTAAAATAGAGTCATTTAGCTTGTCTCATTAACTTTTTAAAAATAAATTTTTTTGCAACTAAATTGGCTTCCTTTTACGGATATTTATTTATTTTTGTTTTTCTCCTTATTTAATTTTTCTAATTTTTTTCTATTTTTAAAAAAGCCACTAAATAGTGTTGCCTAGGCAATATAACTTGCTTAAATTACAAAAATAATTTTTTTTCAAAAATAAATAAATATTTATTTTTATTTTTAGACGTTCAGTGAATCGAAAATAAAATTAAGTTTAGAATTTATAAATAATTTCCATTTCAAGTTACACCAAAAATCTTTTACTTATATCACCGAAATAAACAAAAAATTTTGTGTATACCTAAAGGATTTGAATAGATTTGTGATTAGGATATGTTAGAAAGTAATAAAGGAAGGTGTGATAAGGCGGAGATTAAAAAATTTGTATAAAATTTATTTTGGTATATTTTCACACGATTTTATTTTGAAAAATTTTTTTAGAAAAATTTATTTGTTTATTAAAGAGGACCTGAGGGAGAATAGGAAAAAGAATTTTTAATTTTAAAAGTCAAATAAGGAAATTTAAAAATGGGAAAATATTAAAAATACATTAGAACTATGAGAATAAATGACGAAAAAAATTTCAGAAAAATTTTTTTTGAAAAATAAAAAAAAGTTTACCTAACATAACGCATCGGTCTGCTAATGTGAATAAAACGATCGAGAGCTATAGCACACTGTAAATAATGAAATAAAAATTATAGTGAATAAATAACATGTTTTGTGCAAAGGATTGAGGTTTCTGGTTTGGAGAATAGCAGAGGTGGGTCGGAATTTTTTCTCCTTCCGATTTCCGAAAAAAATTTTGATTTCCAATTTCCGACTTTTGAGCCAGTTCCGATTTCCGGCTCTTCTGATTTCCGACACCTCTGACTATTCCGACCCACCTCTTAAGGATACGTTTTTTCTGGGGGTTTGGATTTTAGCCGAAACCTAGCTAAAAAGCTGCCCAAAATTTTTAGCCAAAAAGTGTTTTGAAAGTTCCTGTATTCTAATAGGGATTTATTCTCAAAAGTCGTAGCATGAGAAATTAAAGAGTAATTTTTTTTTAAATATTTTTCTGATTAATTTTTAAAATAAGAGAGGGTAAGGATATAAAATAATATTTTTTTAAATGAAGGACTTCTTTCATTTAAAAATCCCACTAAAAACCTACTAAATTTAAAATAGAAGCAGTACTACAAGCAATATCCAAACAAATCCAAAACTGACAAAAAGCAGCCCCAAAAGGCCAAAAACCAATTAAATCGTTTGCTGCCGCTAAAACCATTACCTTTAGAAAATTTTTTTTAATTTCCAAAAATATTTTTAAAACCATTCCAGCAACAAACAAATCTGACAAAGCTAAAGAAACTAAAAATAAATTTTCTGGTTGTCTACGCAATTTTCTGTCGTAGAATATTGCTGCGATTACTAGAAGGTTGCCAGAAAAGGCAAGAGAAATTAATACAGAAAAGAGGGGGACACAAATTAAAAGAGGTAGCCACCAGGGCAACATTAAAAAAATTTTTTTCTGAAAAAAAATCAATTTTTTTTAAATTTGCTTTGATTTTTAATCTTTTATAAATAAAAAAAAAAATTTTTTTTAAATAAAAAAATAATAAATTGCTTCTACTCTTGTTTTCCCTACATTAGGCATCGTGTGGGCATAAAAAATAAATTACAGATTTCAAAAATTGTGACCTCGTAAATATGAAATTCAATGAAATTTTTTCCAAAAAGTTTGGAGAGAACCCTTAGCTCAACAGAAAGTTTGTGTTTTCCTCTTGGTCCTGAGAGTTCAACAAATGATCAACAATTATTGTTGATTTTTATATTCATGATCTGCCCGATGTTTAGGGATACAATTTGTGGGTCCAAATATAAATCGAAAAATTCATCCCGACAACGAAAAATACACGCAGTTTTGCGTATTTCTCACTTTAACAAGAAATTCCACCGGAAACCAATTTTCCCAAAAATATTGAAACCCAATTTCACACAGCTAAATTTTCGTAACTCATTTATTTTGTCAACTCTATTCGATTGACATTCAAAAATACTACCTATCGTCATATGTTGAATTGGCTCAAATTCTTTCAAGAAATTAATAAAAGTAATATAAAACAAATAAATTATATTATGTAAATTTGGAATGAAAATCTAGCATGATTACATAACGAACAGGATTTTTGAATGTCTGGTGGATCTACCCTTATTTATACTCAACTTTTCTTTACCAAAGGTGGTATATATTTATTTGAGTGTGGGATTCGACTAAAACAAAATTATTTTAAAAATTTTTAGAAAATTTTCAATTGACTTGTTTTAATTGCCAAATAATCAGACATATTAAATAAAAAATACCCAATTCTTATAATTATTTTTTAATAAACAAACAAAAAAATAAAAACTAATTAAAATGAGGAAATACGTTAAAGGAAATATTTAAAAATGACTTTTAATAAATACTTGGTAAATGATGAACTTTAAAAAAATAATAAAAAAAGTGTGAATTAAATATTAAAAAAAAGATGACTTAAATAAAGTATTGACGAATTTTTTTAATTTTCTTTAAATTGTAGTTTGCTCGATAATTATTAGTTAAAAGTGGAATCAAAGAGAGGGAAGACAAGGCAGGTAATAACTAGTTGAGGACTTTTAACTTGATCAAGATAAGAATTGGAGACATGAAATTTTGTATGAAATATTTAATGATAGCCAGGAAAATCTTCGGCATCCGGAACCGAAAACTGAACCGAAAAGTTTCGACTAACTGGGCTTTTTCGGTTCCGGATACCCGTAATCGCCAAACTTACTGATAGCTTATTCTAAAAAATATTCACTTTGGAACACTAACTCATTCATAATTAAATTTTTTAAACAATTTACATAATATAATTTATTTCAAATATTATTAAATGTTAATTTTAATCAACTTAAATTCAGTGGATGTGTGCATTAAGCATTGTGAAGCATATTTTTGAATGTCAATGAAATACATTGACAGATAAGGTTTATGGGGGAGGTGTTTAATTAAAGTGTCGACTGAAAAAATTCCGGATATACGCATATTTCCACCTTTCCAATAATACATAAATTTGCCTTAACTTTTTCACGTTTGTCTTTAGTCTGGCCCATTCCTCGTATTAATTAGACAAAAATGGGAAAATTCAAAAGTTTATTAAATTTCGTTTCTTTGACCTTTCATAATTTGTTTTCAGACAACAAAATAACGTGCGAAACAAAAAATTATCAAATTTATAGAAAACTAAGAAAAATATTCTAAAAATATATTTACAAAATTTTGTGAAGATACTAATATTCGAAAAATTATGAGTGCGCGAGTTCTCGTGACTATGAGGCAATGTTCAAAAAAATTAAAGAACAAAATCATAAAATATTAAAAAAATGGCAATAAATATTTTGAGAAATAAAAAGGTTAAAAAAGGTATCAGTATGTAAAGGTGTATGGATTGCGTGAGAAAAATTTTTATAAGGAAAGAGGCCAAAAATTGAAAAAAAAAATAAAAATGGCAAAAAATACATAGAATATATAAATGTTAAATGAGGGAAGGTATGAGATAATAAAAATATTTTCTGTGAAAGGGGGATAAATAAAATGATTGAGAGTAAAGTGATACGAGAGATATATTCTTTAAAGTAAGAGAAAATGAATAAAATATGTAACATTTTGACTAAATTTGGGAATAGACAGATATCTCCGGAGTTGAGTTTCGAGTTTAGTATTCAGAATTACTTCGTATCAGATTTCGGGTAAGCAGGTCCTTTCTTGGTAGACAAAAGTATATAGAAGAATATATAATATGAGAATGATAAATATTAAAGACGTCCGAGACTCTTTATCTTGATTCTTGACTCAAGACTTTTCTTTGGGTTAATTCGGTCTTTGTCTTGAATCTTGGAAAATTTTAGGTCTCGGACATGGCTAATAAATTTTGTAATTGGAAAAAATATCTAAAATTAATTAAAAAATATCATGGAGTGGTTTTATCGGTTTGGGTCAATGTGGAAAGTATAACTCAGTTTCGCATTCTCGTTTCAGTTCCAAATACCCGAGGATTTCCAGAAAGCGCGGATTAACCTACAACTATGTCATCGGAATTTTTTCACAAAAAAATAAATTTATTAAAAATCAAAAGAATTTTAACTTTCAAAAATCTTTATGTACTTTTAAAAAATTATTTTTATATTTAAATAAATGTAGGCGTAAAATAGTATTATATTAAATAGCTACATATAAAAATTAATAGAAAAATTAATAAAATAAAAAAAATTAATAAATTCTAAAACGTTTTAATAATTTTAAAAAGATTTTTGCGACAGCTGGAAATATAAAAATAGGATTAAATTTATATAAATTTTGTTTGCAAATATTTTATTGAATTAATTTAAATTAAAGAGAAATTTTGGTGAAATTAATAAGGAAATTAAATTTAAATTTGAACCTAAAATTTTTTAAAAAAAAGGTTCTAACAGATCCCACAATAAGGATATCACAGATAGGAACATAAACATATCAGGGATCCTGCCGACAAAAAATCAAAATTACCGATTTCGGGAAATCGGGAATCGGGTCGGCAGGATCCCTGATACATATACTATAGCATTCTCGTTAGTGGAGAAGTCAATATTTACTAATAAGCCTCCAAAAGGAGGAACGGTTGCATTAAAAAAAAGAAATTTTGAAGAAAAAAATTTACTTTAACGTGATTTATAAGCCAATTCCGTCATTGAAAAAAAAATAAATAATGGAAAAATTTTACATAATATAATATAATTTAAATCTATTAATATTAGTTTCCTTAAAAAGTATTGCTAACGTCTCATTAAATTCATACCAAAAAGAGTATTTTTGAATGTCAACCAAATTGTTGACAGATAACACTTTTCATTTGCGTTTTAGGCAGGTTAGAGTTTTGAATTATTTCGTAACTGAGATGTTATAGGTAGGGATATCTGGGAGATTAAAAAACAAAATTTAATTTAAAAATCTCTCAATTATTCCAACATATTTAAAGTCAGTTTTAGATGTCTGAGGGATTGAATAACTTGAGGCTGCATTAAAAGCTGATTTAAGAGAAAGTTTTCTTTTATTTTTAAGTAAAAATAAAAATTTATTGTGTTAGGGGTGCTTATAGACAATTTTTATGAATCTCTCAATTATATCCTCTATCAATTACAAAGATAAAATTAAGGCAGCATTTACATAATATAATTTATTTAATTTATATTTTATTATACTTATGTTAGTTTTCATTTAAGTAAAATTTAATTGTTTAATCAAAACCAGAATTTTTATTTTTGAATGTCAGTTATCAAATTGACAAAACACATTGATAGATTGTATTTATGTAGGTCTATTTAATCTTATATCTTGCTATTAGAGCTCGATTCGAAAATATCTAGAATTTATTGAAAATTTTAATGTTACCAAATAGGCCTTAAGAGGGTGGTAATTGTTAGAAAAGGAATCTTTAGGTTATTGAGGTTTTGTATATAATTCTCGCCCTTACTAATTAAAATGAAAAAATAGAAGAACCGGTACCTAACGTATGGAACAAAAACTGACTGAAAAAAGAAAAAAAACTAACTCTAGCCCTCATAAAAGGCTGTTAATTTAAATTTATCTTTAAAAAATATTTTCTTTAAAATTTTAATCTTTTAAATAATTTTAAATGAGTTTTGAACTTATTGTTGAGCCAACAAAGAATAAAGGTTGTCAATAAAATTGAGAAAAGTAAAGATGTGTTTTTAAGGGGGAATTGATTGACAAGAAGCATAAGGCAAAGACAACTTTCATCAAATGTTAAAAAATCATTTAAAATTAATTAATTAAACAAAAGAATTAACTAGAAATAAATAAATAGATGTTTGTGGCTAATTAAATAAAGGAAAGCAGACGGGGAGAATGGTGAGAACAGATCTTTTAGTTAGCTTGGAGACGGTTGCGGATTACTTTTGCGGACAAAATAGAAGACTAGTGAAAATGAGAAAAAGGATAAACGAATAATTTTTAAACAATAAAACTATAGCTTGTTAGAAAGAGCACTTTTTACTTAATAATAATAATAATAATCCATGTTATCTAAACTAATTCTTCACGAGATATACTGTTCTAAATAAATTTTCAGTCAGTGCAGATAAACTTTTGCACCCCAGTGTAAGTCTAATTTACTATTTTTTGGCAGATTAATCAAGAAAATCTCTACTCGAGTCTCGAAAGATTGACAAGTCTCAACAAAATAAAATTAAAAATGAATCGAACGGAAATAAAAGAAAGAAATCAACAGAAGACTCCTAAAACTCGACTCAAAAAACCTCTCAAGACTAAGCTCGAAAATCAGTTTGAATCAAAAAATCAAGCCTAGTTATGTATTTGTGAATGTCCGCAAAAATATCTGTCCACAAATGTCGCTCTATCCTTAACTCTTTTAAACAATTGTCAGCAGGGTGGCCCTTGTAAATTACTTAAGTATTAATTCTCTCCCCTCAAACTAATTTATTTTATTCAAAAAATCTAAGGAAGAGGAGGGCCAAAAAACAAAA